TGTTTAGGATGCAGCCTCACTGTCTAACGTAAAACTTAACATTATCTCATTTCACTGGGGGGCAATGTCAAACTCACTCCTACACCCTTGCCACTGAATATGCGGCATACAAAGGAAATCTTGTCATAATTTATATAAAATAATTACGACTGGTGAAAATATTTTGGTACATATTTTTTTATAATGATTTGGTCTTTTTTGAAGGGTTTTTTCCTCAGTGCACATTGGGCATCTAAATTAGATCTTTTTATCAAAGCTGACAAAACAGTAACCTCAGCATTTGTAGCACAGTCTTTATAAAGTCAGTTGAATTTTCTTTAGGCTAATGTATGCTGATTTATTATAACTTGCCTCATGTACTGTTCATAGTTAGTTTCACATCTTTCAAATCTTTGGAATGCAAGCAAGTTAACATTAAACTGAGTCATTTTACATTTCGTGGTGTTTATGTAGAGGACTGAAAAATAAAAGAGTTTATTAGTTTCAGTAAAATAGGGACCCTCATATTTGTTTTGTTATTTATTTATTTGACTTGATTTTATTACATTTTGTTTATTATGGACATTAGTACACCATTGTTTATTTTTTGTGACAGTGCTGAGAAGGTCAAATCATTTAGTCTTTTAATACAAATTTATTTCACCCAGTAGAGGGCGCTCTTAGGCTGAACCGACAGGAAAACGGGCTGTGTGGGTAAAAGGTTCAGAATAAACATTGCCCCGCAGGCTGACGACACATTGACTTTTGTGTTGGTTTTCCCTGTCATTTTAGAGAGAGAGAGAGAGAGAGAGAGAGAGAGAGAGAGAGATCTCGACCATCTCCCGCCATCATACAGCCATTCGTTGTTATGATACCATCTTGTGCACGGCTCAGGTTCCCCTAGGCCTGAGGCCGGCAACATTTAGATATTTAATCTCAATGAGATTTAATATGCAGCTGATTAAAAATTATTAAAGCTAACTGTAGCATGTGCTTACTATCGCTTGCCTAACACTAGCCTGAGGGAGAGAGAGCAACTGCTAGCTATGTGCAACAACTTCCACAATGCGATGCAGCAAGCCAGCTACTTAGACACTGCCAAGTAATGTCCCACACAAGGGGAGTGTACACAGGTATTGAAAGTGCAAATTTGTTTTGCAGTCCTTGATAATTATCTACTATTATTCATGAAAATGATGTTGGGATGTGCTGAAGTGCAAAAGTTATAAGACAGTGAAAATAATAGGCATCACACAGCGTTATTTATCAAGTCACATAAAACATACAGTGGCTGCTGGCTATTCTAAACCAAAATATCCAGATGATACACAAAAACAGCATATTCAAATATGAGAATCTGCAGACAGCGTTTTACTCTGGAGAAGTATAAATGTGCACTGCAGTCTAACTATCAATAACCAGTTGTCCACCAACGTGTGAAGTGAAATAAGCCACCAATTCCTCTGTGTTTGTGAAACATAAGATCTACCCACCAGCATAATGAGTAAATTACCTTGGAAAACTTATCTTCTAACCTTTGCAGCTTGTGTATTGGGCACTATGGCAACAATCTACATTTCATGAATGAGTAATATTTTTTCTTATATGAATGACTGATGTCAAGAGCTGCTAAGAGATGTTAGAATAAATTTAGCCTGGGTAAACTCACTGCAGCAAAAAGATTCCAATTCCATGGACACTGGGGAAGGACCACAAATAGTACCCTCCCTCAGTTCCTTTAACTGGCTGGTGCTACTCTTGCTGCTTGCTCTCCTGTGTCAGATGTTTTGTCAGAGGTTTTGTAGCTCTGTATTGTGGCACAAACATGTTTGGTTGGACTTCTGTATGCATTCAGGAAGCTGCTGTCATGCAGATTTTGTTGTTTGTGTCTGGGGCAGTAGCAATCTTTCTGTGTGAAAATCTTTTGGATGTGAGTTACCTGAGACTGTAACAGGACAAAGAAAGCCTACTACCTCAGCCTTGTGTAGTTTGAAGCTGAACTGCTTTGACTCTTGATTATGTCACCAGTAATTCATCTTTTACCAAAGAAAAGGCTGATTCTGGACCCTTAGGCTGCATTAAAATGGGTCCTTTTCAGTTAAAAAAAGTTCTCCTGGTAACACGGACATAGACATTGAAGCATACAATCTGCTAACTATCCCTTTGAACTATGTAAATCTTTTTCCCCCCTCAGAATAGCTAAGCTGTCTGTTTGTATGTTAAACGGGTATTTGATGGGGTTTTTTTAAATTTCTGCACAATTAAATTGTTAAGACAGAGCCCCGTGAAATGCGGCATTCTAGAGAAACTTGCCAAATCAAAATTCTTCACAGTGGTGGTGATAGAAACCCAAACTTCTGAAGCATTTAATGCCTTAGCTACCTCACAGAAAGCTTGAAATGGTATGTTGCTTGATGTCTGAGACATTGTTTTGTGATAATTTTGAAAAAGTTCTGGCTTAGTATGTACTTAGCTATAACATAGCTAAAACATTTACATTGTAGGCATCGCAACCACTGGTTCCCGTCACTGCTGGAAAAAATCTGCAATAGTACATTTCTCTAGAATGCACCACTGCGCATCAAATCACTCTGAATGATTTAGTTTCCATTTCAACAACATATTTATGGAGAAAATTTGTTTGCTGACCCTGCTCTAACACACTAATATAACCTGACAGTCAACTGATGAGTCGAATCACCTGTCTTTCAGCAGGAAAATCAACCAACATGCATTTTTACTTTTATATACTTTTGGCTCCACACTTCCACTTTTAATTAAGTAAGATTTTGACACAGTATAGTGTAATTTTTCCATCGCTGCTAGCTATTACAGAGTAAGCAAGGGCATTGAGGGCAAGTATGATCCACATACCTTTCCACATGGGGCAGTGGAGTTCTGTTTTAGATCAAGGATCCAGTTTCCTGGCAGAATGCCACTGAGTAGGCTCTAGGAAAAAGGTTCTATTTATACTGATCAGTGGCTAATGTTCCAGCCAGACCATCAAGCAGCTAACCATCGTTTCGCCTGCTGATATTTTTTTGAGAAATCACCCATATAAATACCACCTGTGTCACAAGTCAAGTTGAAAGATTTGTTGGATATAGTCACATGCAGGCCTACAAATGTTACATGGCCCAAAGTTTGTGGCCACCCATTCTAATTTGTGGGTTTGGTAATTTCAGCCACACCTAACATGCATAAAATCAAGCATATAGTCCATGCCAAACATTGGAAGTAGAATTAATCATACTTCATAGTAAGGGTACATGATCTGACAGTAATTAAGGCATTTACTAATGAATAATTCATCCGAAAGTAATAAGTCATTAATCAGGAACAAATAATAATAATAATAATAATAATAATAATAAGAAGAAGAAGTCATATATTAACTGTCATAAGATTAAAATTCTCAGCATGAATTAATGTATGTACTAATGAATGAAGATTAAGGTAATAAAGGCTTTCTCCAACATCTGAATTTATTAGGAACTCATGTGTTAAGTATTTTATTGTCACAAGATCCCCCTTAGGCACAGTGTTCTGGAATATTGTGTCTATCAAAGTCACCTGTGTTTTTTCTTTAGCTCCATCCTCTCATCTTGTCCATCTGTGTCTGGTTTGTCTTGCTGTGTAAGCAGCCCATGTATTATATCTATGTCAAATCTTGAGTTTGTGGTTTTTTGATTTCTTATGTTACCCCATCTGTTTCTACCTACTTAGTATCTATGTTTATTTAATAAAATAAAAAAACTTACACTGACATCTTTTAGCCACTAGTCCTAGTTTGTGACTTTTTTACTTGAAGTCACAAACTACCACATGAAGAAATCCACCAGGAGCAGGGTGGATAAAGTAAACACCTTCATTATTTGAGTAAAAGCACAGATGCAAAACGAACAATACCTTTTACCACTTTTTAACCCATATGTTGATACACAGTGTGTCCTAAGGGAATGGTTAATTCTAAAACTTCAGACTGTACTCAGAAATTAGTTAACAATTCATATGGACAGTGCAGTGCCTTTTTAGTAGGGTCATAGGAATCCTTAATTCATGTTGCACAACACTGCATGTCTCACTTCATTATAAAGAAAGCACTGATTCTTACTGATTATTCATGATGAATTTATAATGTTTGTGCCCCCTAACAGAGTGATGAGCCATTCACACTTTATTACTGATTAAAAACCGGTTACTCATGATGAATTCATGTTTTGGCCCCTAAAGTAAAGTGATGAACCAGTCACACTTTACTACTAATTAAAAGCTAACAAATAAGTAGGGGTTAATCATTACTTACCAAAATGACAGTTATTCTTTCACCCTCGCAAGAACAGTGATGAATGATAAGCAGGGGAGCATGAGAAACAACCTAACACAGGGTGCAAATTAACGCAGACTTTTCACGTTGTTAAAGAAGATCAAGCAGCGTGTGCTTCTGGCCACATTACCACATTTCCTAGCTGTCTGTCTGTCTTATAGATAAATAATATATCATGCAGTACGGTTGACAAATTTCTTTCTTACAAAATAGAAATATATTTAGTTAACTTTGTTTGCACTAATTTATCAGACTTTTCTGGCAATTGTTACAACTAACCATTTGTCTGTTACAATCAACCCTACCCATGAGGTAAATTGTACTTCCCATCATTTTCAGTGGAATTGTACATGAACAATCGGTGTTAAAAATTAAATTCAAGACTTCCTTTGTAGCAGAGGCATATATGTTGCTTGTATAAATCATGATTATTCCAACTTAAATATTATTAAAGTTATTCAACAAAAAACTATTTGTGTTAGGTTGTGCCCCACTCTCCCCTACAATATGTCCCATATAAAACAAGACAAATTCATAGGTATTAAAAATGTTATTTTATTATCATCTTATGACTTACATAATGTATAGAACCAGGGTACATGAATGTGTAAGTGAAAGTAAAAAAACATGTTTTCCTGTTAGATAAAATTGCTTTTTATTCACTTTTCTCAAATGGTTTCATAGAGATACTCACTCGAGACTTTATGGCTGCTTGACATATGGTGACTACCACAATTACTGCCACCTACTGGCGAAGAAGAATCGTTGTAATTTCCAGCTGCGGAAACAGTTAAAACATTTCGTTCCAAAATGTTGCGTTTTCATTAGAAAAAAGCTTGGGTATAACATTTTTTTTAAAGAATAACAGATGTATAATGGGAAACACATTTTTATTTTTTTTAAGGTGATATACATTTTTCATAATGACAGTGGTATATACTAAGATAATCCACAAAATGTATTAAAATGTTTGTTTTCAATAAATAAAGTAAATAAACATAACAGTTCACATTCATGTTGTAACAGTATGACACTGCAGTATGACATAGGTAATAGTATAAAATGCTTGAATTGATAGTATATCGATGTCATCACAATTACACTGCCACCATTTTGATTGGCAACTTTAAGTTAATTCAGCAGTGCTGCAGCTGTTTGTAATGAGATAACAACGCCATAACCCATCCAGCAAAGGCTGTACAACAGCTTTTTAAACACTTTACATTTTTAAAGCACATTAATCAGTGTATTTGAGAGTACTGACTTAATTTTATTTGATTTGTGGTTGTAGTGATCACAAACAAAACCAAAAATCTAAATGGCTTATATTTCCCACTGCGTTATTATTTTCGCATTCCAAACCATATACTAGCACACTAAAATATACAAAATATACAAAAACAGTGCATATACCACTAAAAGTGCATTTATTATTGTAATAGGTGAAGTACAGAAGTGTGTGGTTTGGGACGCGGTGTTAGTTCAACAGTTCCAATCGTCTGATCACATCTTCACTATGCTGCACATTAGCTGCTCAGTAAACATTTCCAAGTGAAAGTTTAATGTTTTTCTTGATCAAGGATCATTTATTTAGGTAAGCTGATGTTAGCTTAGTATTCGCCAACTTTCGAAATTTTTTCTATGTTTAGGCACCTCAATGTAACAGCAGCACCATTTAAGGTAGAACGGAAAATTCAAATAAGAATTTGACTTGAGCTTGATATATACAGTGGCCAAAAACAGCAAATAAAAAACAAGCTGCAAACTCAGAAAGCACTTTCATCAAAATGACGACACCGATGCTACATTTCATGAATGCACTGCATTTACAGAAAACACATGCAACTTCAGAAATGCTCATAAGCCAGTCACAACGGTGTTTCCGGAGGGCACTGAAAGGAGAAAGAGCCATTCAGACTTTTAAATTCTATGCAGCGCAAACATTCACCTTCAAATGTTAGTTAACTTTTATTTAGGCAGATTACTACTATCCCTGTATTGATAATTCCCACAGTACAGCTACGACATGTTTTGAATTTAGGATTTGAGTGTCCGTGGTCTTTTCTACTTCTGTCAGCAATTTTCCTTTATAGATATTCTATCCCCTTGTGTTGTGACTTGCTTTACAGCTTTTCTTAAGTTACATGCGTTTTCTTGATTTGCATCAATCAAATAAATAGCTTGCCTACCAACAGGGCAATATTGTCTTCTCAATGACGTAATCGAATACTATGAATAGAACAAAACCAAAAGATCTTTTAGCAGGGGCCAATGTGTACTTGTGTAACTTGCTTTTTGCATGATTTATTAACATATGAATTCCTGATAGATTCAGATGTTGAAGAATTCTTTATTACCTTCATCTTCATTCATTAGTATATGCATTAGTTAATGCTGAGTAGTATAATTATATGGTTGTTAATACATGACTTATTAATTTGTTCCTGATTAATGACTCATTACTTTCTGATTAATTATTCATTAATAAATGCCTTAATTACTGTCAGATCATGTACCCTTACTATAAAGTGTTTTTTTTAGACTTTTAAGACTTTTGCCTCCTGAAAAGATTTTCCACTTATTTATTTATCTATTTATTTATTTATTTGTTAATTTATTTACTAATTATTTTTTACAAACAATAGTCAATGGCCACAATGTTTTATTGTTAGATTATATAACTATGTTAAAAATAAAACAGTTTATCAATATATATATTTGATGTGTCCTTTTTTACCTATTTGCCTGGACAAGTCATTAATGTTTAAAGGTGTCACCATTCACTTATGTTAGCTTATGTTTATTCAGACATTTCTAAGCAAGACATTTGATGTAACTGAACCTTCACAAATTTTAGTTGAATACCCTTGTTCTAGAGAATTGTGAGCTTCCAACGTTGAGGCAACAGCTTGAGAAAGGTCCTTTCCTGTTTTACCATGACAATGTCCCAGTGCACAAAGTGAGACTTATAGAGAATTTGTTGAGTTTGGTGTGGAAGAACTTGACTGGCCTACACAGAGCCCTGACATCAACCCCATCAAACACCTTTAGGATGAATTGGAATGAGAGACTGATTAACTTCTCATTTGTGCTGCATTTAAGTCAATATCAGAGTCAAGAGTCACACAAATATATATATATTTTCTATATTGAATAATATAGTGCTTGATAGTGTAGTTACACAAAATGCTATTAAACAGAATTATATCCAAGGAATCCAGACTCTGTGATTATGCAAATTTTAAATACCCTCTCCATACACACACTCACTACCTTGAGTACCTCACTGCTATTCTTGGTAAATTGTGATAGTAATTTTCTGCTCATTTCAGAACTCTTTCTAACATGCCATCATCAGCTCGGCCTTGTCATTTCCCCATAGTGAAATCTTTATACCAAAAAACAATCTGCAATACTTAATATTTCAAAACAATAACATTTGATTTGATATGTTTAAACTGGGTTTTATGTAGCAAAGTACGTAATTTGCTATTTATAACTGCTAATACAAATTCATTACTTTGCTCTGATAGCAACAACAACATAAAAAACAAAAGTGATAGGCTTCTTGTAATAGTCATTGATGTTTATGGATTTAATTCTTATTTTCACTGTGGTATGCTCCTAGCAGTAGTTACTGGTTTTCACTGGTAACAGTGACTGATTTCATAGATCTATTTTTCATTGTTACTACTTCTGTCTATTGACAGACTGGTTTTTTTTAAAGATTCCAAACACAAAGTACTGGAACCCCTTTGTTTTTGCTCAAATTTTTCTTATTATTTTTTTCTGCCCTAGAATGAATAGTGCAGACTAAACCATACATCGTAGAGACATGAAACTTGGTCAAAAGATAGTAGTCTTTCCTTCTACTCAGGTGCTTGAGCACAGCCTGATTGGCCTCAAAGTGGCTCTACAGCACCCAAAACAAACTTTTTTTAGTTTTGACCCTCTCCTTAACCGTAAGGTGTAGAAACAAATTTTTGGTTTTATCTGTTGTCTCGGCTGTGCTGACATTTTAGCTCCGTCCACTTAGGGTTTTTGTTTGCAATATGCAAAATCAACTTTTGTGAAATAGTCGGTCAGTTTTCACCCCATTTGCATGAATCTGGTTAAAATATTTGGAAAAGTATGAAGCTTAATAATTATCAAAAAAACATAGAAATTCCAAACAAGACGGCCACCTTATGCAAATTAATCTTTCCAGATTGGAGCATAGTGGGTTTAAACAGATGTAAAGCTCTTAAGGATGAGCTGACAATTGATAAATTGTCACCACCATTGGCCAATCTGTCATCAGGCATTTAAAAGGCTTACCATTGACCACAATCATGATCAAACTTGAATGGTATGTCTACATAGTGGGTGTTTAAGACCTGCTAAAGTTTCAAAAGACTTAGAATTAGACAGTGCCAATCATATTTTTAACAATTAAAGAGATCTCATTCTGCTTTTGACCAACTCTAACAACTTTCCATCAAATGTATATTTTTTTTTAAAATGCATACTTTTTGGAATTGTTAAATGTATGAAAAGATCCTTTTGAATTACCTAATGGGATTGAAGTAGTGGAGTAAACTGTTGCCTCTGTAGGTAAATAATTATCAAATGTTGAAATTGTATTGCTGCAGCATTTTAGCAGAGATTTTATGACTTAGATGGTGACAACTCTAATAGACTTAGGTTTATTGAGACCAAATTCAGTACAAACATACAAACTGACACTAAAGAGGTATTGCTAATGTGGTTAAAATCCACATCTAGGGGGCATTACAATTTGGAGTCATATTAAAAAATTAAGCAGAATTAACTTGTCTTCTGCTTAGTTAGAAATAAATAAGAAGAAATGGTGGCAAAATAAACTATTTTTTCAGCCGAACAACTTTACAAATAGATGTGTTTTACTACATTGTACAGGCAACCTACCATATTATTTAATAAAGTTTTTAGTAGTTTGTCAGAATGTCACCAAACTTGCACACTTGCCCTGTGTATACCACTGAGAAAGGCAGCAAAGTTAGGTCCGTAGGAGCCCTGAGAAATGAATCACACTTTTTGAACATATTAGCACATTCAACACATTATAAAAATATATTTCTAATAAATAGTCCAAATGAACTTAACATGTCAGTTCAAAGACTCGCATATTATGGACAAACTAAGGCGCAAATGATTTTGCTGCAGCGTGTTAAAGAAATTGGTGGCCAAATGTGGTCTTATCATATTATAGCAATGTCCAGCTCTGAGTAATGAGTCATGCAAAGTGCAAGTCTGATTTACAAGTCAAATTGAACACACTGTAAAACAATCATCACCAAGAAATAGTCCCAATAACCAAAACACATCAGTTTGAAGTACATCATACTATGAAAAAGCCAAAGTTGAAGTCATTTTGATGCAGCATTTACAAGAAATGGGCAGCCAAAATTATGAATTTGTCAAAATCAACTCGTAACATAATAATTACCAAAAATAGGTCCAAACCATGTGTCTACATGCTTTCAATGCTGAGGCATTAATAAGTAATTCACAACCAAAATGATCATATTGGTTCATCAAGATAGATTGCACCTTTACAAAAATTCTCATTTTTTCATGAGACAAATTAAAAACATTACAAAACAGTCATCATCAACAAGTAGGCCTAATAGCCAAAACATATCAGCTTAAATCACATCATATCCTGAGGAAAACGAAGGCGTCTTTTTTACTGCAGCATTTACAAGTAAAGGGCAACTAAATACAAATGGTTGATTTGCACCTTTTCACACGGACTCC